GAGGAAAGGTAGATTTATAGTGATTTCACTTTAAGTCACAGCGTAAATCTAATTACTGCGATTGCTAGAGTTTGAAAAATGAATATGGTTCGCAATTTTAATTTTTCTATTATCACTCAAAATCGATGTGCTAGAGCATGTTAAAGTTTAGACTTTAACATTGTTTTTTCCATTGAAAAGTGATATGATTTTTATTTTGGTTATAAATATTTTCTTATAGAATGAAACAATGATAATATCTAAACTTTAACCTGCTCTAGCTCATCTATTCTGAGAGATAATTGAAAAATTTAAATGGTGAACCATATCCATTTTTCAAACTCTATCAAACGCAGTAATTAGATTTACTCTGTGACTTATAGTTAAATCACTATAAATCTACCTTTCTTCCCGGTGCTTTGAATTATCGAAAATTTTTTCAAATTTTTAACTGATAAAGAATTAAATTCTCTACATTTTCCACATCATAACTTTTTTATATTCCAATCCATATAGCTTTAATAATTCTTTAAAAAACAATTTTTATGGCATACCTGGCCTCCCAGTGCTTAAACTAATCATCCTAGAGAAATTTCATGAGACATAGGTATCCATACTTTTTGACGCTCTTTCCAACGGTGTATCATTTGTTAAAATATACCTGATACTTTTAAAGTTATAGCGTAATTTACAAAAACTACCGGTGCTTAGCTACCGGTGCTCAAATCAAGTTGTCACTTCGAGAGCTTATATAATGTTAAATTCCATAGTTGGGGTTTAAGCAGATTAATTTTAAATTTTTTGATTAATAAATAAGCCAATTTTTACTGATCAAGGTCCAGTCCGGAAATTAATTTCTTTGCCTGATATATATATGTACAAGTGGGTTATATTGAATGTATACTATATCATTTATATACTGTATATCGATTATAGATTCAATATTATTATTAATTGCACAAGTTTAAAATTTTTGTTCGTCTATCAACTGTTAGTGGAGATGAGACAGGTTAACTTTATATTTAATAATGTAATGAACTGTTAGTGGAATTAATATATAAAATTATATCGACATCATATGTATTTTAAAAAGTTGTAGTTTTATTGTGTCAAATATCTATTTATTGATAATAATAATAGATACTATTTCCATAGTGTTCTTATATGTTTTATTACAAATATTATCATAAACATTCTTATTTATTAATAATCCTCATTTTGTTTAAAAATTACTACGTGGCAAGTATCTTTTTGGAATAAATATTAATAATCTAATAAATGACAATTTATAAATTAACATGAATTCAAATAGTAAAATATTAGAAAAAATTAAATCAATTACAAATGTTTCAGAAGTAGATAAATCGAAAATTATCTTGTTTTATATATTAAATCAACGTGAATTTGAGCCTGGCTATCGCAGTGATGTTAAGCAAATTATTTGTTATTCAGAAAAAAGATGGACAATGTTACGTGTATGGCCATGGCACATTATTTCAAAATACTTTCAATTCAACCGAAAAATCAATTAATATAGATAAATTGCGCAACTCTTTTGTGAATAATTTTTATAATGGTGATAATTTTGTTATCGCATTAAGCGAGCTTGGTAAAGTATATTCATTCGGATATAACAACCACGCCCAATTAGGATGTGAATATTTATCTGCTTCCTATGAACAACCACAAAAATTAAATTTTTCTTACTCGTCATTAAACTATGAAGATATTATTATAATCCAGATAAGTTGTGGTAAAAGTCATACACTAGCATTAGATAATGCTGGTTATATTTATGGGTGGGGTTGCAACGATTATGGCCAGATTATATTTAATCAAAATAATACTTTGTCCCTACAACATATATTCTATCCCAAACTACTTCGCGACAATATTAAGTATGTAAGTTGTTTCGAGAACACGTCATTCGCAGTAACCAAAACTAACAACTTGTATAGTTGGGGTTCATTGTTGTATAGAAATCTTGGTCATATTAATGTTGACTTAAACAACGAATTAAATCCAATTGGTCGCCCCATTAACACAATATTTACAAACACATGGACAAATTTCTTAAGTCACGATGGTTCAATCTATTTTTGCGGTAAACTGCCTTTTACAACGGTGCCACCTCATGAAGTACCGGACAAAATAGATTATTATGGCGAATGGACGGATAAATTACCAGCTCAATATGCATTTGATGCGGGTATAATAAAAATGCAAAATAATTGGCTACGCTTAGCTGGCAAAAAGCTCATACCCATAGATCAACATGACAAAATTATTGGCTTTTATTTAAGGCATAATAAATGCACACATAACACTATTAATATCGATCGAAGGATTCCGGATAGCATTAAATTTTATTCAAACACAATTTATTCGGATAATAAGATAAATTGTGAGCATGATATAAGGTATCTAGATCAAATGGAGGCAAAGATTTCATGTTATAAATGCAAATTAAGCTGGCTTTGACAATTCTTTGATTGATGTCAAATAAATAATTAAAATTTATGTATTCAGAGATTCCTAAATTATTTCAAAACGTTTACCAGTATTAAAAAATTACTATTTTTTATTTATTTAACAAATAAAATAACGTATGTGATTTACATAATTGTTACGTAATTAACTTATTACTAAATCAAGCGGAAATTTATGAATACGTAATAAATTTATTTAATTTTTAGAAACAATTAAGATATAAAATAATTCATATTCATTATCCATTGATTTAACATTTGTTTGAAGTTTCAAAATCATTTGATGGGTAATTTGTATATAATGAGCAAAAATGTGGTTAAATTCATCAACAACATCCATAATCTTCCTGTCCTTACCACTTTGTGCACCGATTAGATTATTTATAAAACTTATAATTCTGTCCATATTTAGTCCAAAATCATGAGAAATATTTGTGCTATAAATAAACACTATTTTTAAAACTCAAATAGGGTAGTTAATTAAGTCTCAAATAATAGTATGAGTTGATCAAGGTCCTTATTTTCTAATATTTTAGATATTAACTTGTAATTATTTTGGCAATTATTCAATATGAAATAATGTGCTAACAATATAATATTATTATAATAATAACTACATTTGGAATAATAATTTTATTTTTACTTAAATTAAAATTGATTTTAACCTGTAAAATAATATACATTGTTTATTATTATTATATAAAATATAAAATAATTGCTTTTGTAAATGACTTAAAAATCTTTTAAATCTGAAACGTAATATTTATTAATTAAATTTATTTAGTTAAATAAAAACAATTAAACATTTGTAGGACAAATTCTTTTTACAAAAATTTTATATTTATAATTTACCAATTATACTGAATTTATAATTTAAACTCTGCTACAATTAGTTCATTTATATAATTATACACATTGTCCATTGAATCAACATGTGTTTTAAATGGGGAAATCATTTCATCAGTAAATTGTATATTATTGGAGAAAATGTTTTTAAATTCATCCAGTACATTCGTTACTTCCCTCTCCTTACCAATATGTCCTCCGATTAAATCATTTATAAAACTTTTAATTCCATATGTATTTAGTCCCAATTCATGTGAAATATTTTTACTTTAAATGAACAAAGTTTTAAAATTAATAAATTAATCTTACTTGTTTACGAAAGTTTTGAACAATTTCTGACAAATATAACCAAGGTTCTTTAAATCTGAATCATTTAGCATACCAGTTTTGCACTGGTTATAATGTCGTTTCGGTTTTTCAATATTAAATAATTTTATGAATCGTCGGTTTTTATCAATTTTAGTAATAAACAAGTTTTGCGGTATAAGTCTCGCGTGAATGCCCTCCAGTTCCCCATTGGTGTCAGTATTGACTGATTCGTGCAAATCGTGAACGCATTGTAAGAGTTCTCGCATTAATTCACACGATATGTAGAAATCAATACAAATCATGTCAACGGAGGTAAGGTTTTTAAATATTCCAGTTTTGTCCTTGATTAAATCAAGTAAATTATGTGTGCATGGTTCAGTTTGAATAAATATGTAATTATTTTCAATCCAAATATTATAATAGTTAGCTAAGTATTCTTGTTTCACGTTTATATACATGGTGATTTGTTTTAATATTTGAACCATGTCGCTTATATCTTCTGTAATATTTATTAAAATTATAATGTAATTATGCAACTTAATTCAATTATTAAAATATTACCTGGGATACCAACAGTTAATATTAAATATTGTTGATGATCCATATTTGTAAAGCATCTTGCTTCATACAGTGATTTTGAATCAACAAATTTGTTAATTATGTTTGAGCCAGTAAAATTACAGTGTGATTCTGTTAATTCTGAAAAATTATATTTCATTGTATAAGTAGATGAATCATGCTTTTAAATAAAATAAGTTAAATACCTTGCACACTTGTGTCACTCGTAGCAAATAGGATTACATAGGGTTTGCATTTAAGGTAATTAAAATACAAATATTGATAATTGCTTTGAACTATGATATCATACAGGTTACGGTCGTTACTATTAATATTAGGACCTGGTAAATTTTGTAGTTGCGATAATATTTCTATACATTCAGGCCTATCCCTCCAGTCTGATGAACCAGTGCTTGAATATTCATTTATAGCCATTGAGACAAGTATTTCATTTAAATTACGTAATAAATCACCATGATTATTCCCATGAAAAGATTGTATTCTATATTTGAAAATTAAAATAGGTTATTTAATTTATATTTTAAAATGCATATAAATTCTAAATGATAGCAAATATAATAAATAATGATTTTAAAAAATATAATTATATAATTATGACAAGCACCAGAATATATTGTGTAAATTTTCCGGTAACTTACTTTCCATTCATAATATCACTCATTTTGAAACCAAACATTTCGGCCCCAATTAGCGCCAGACTATAGATATCTATCTTATGGTTGTATGTCTCGCCCTCAGCTTCCGGTGCCATATAGTCGGGTGATCCGACTTCACCCGTATGTTCAACTGATGACGGTTTAAATGAGTCTAAATTGTACAGGTCTTTCGAAACACCTAGGTCACAAAGTTTGAGATATCTCGTCTGGTTCACTTCATGTCTCATAGCGATCAACACATTATCCGGTTTGAAGTCTCTGTGGATGATATGCTTTTCGTGCAAATATTGCACACATTCTGTAAGTTCTCGGAATATTCTCAACGCTAGACATAATTGGAATTCCGTTTGGCTTTCGGTTGTATTGTTTAAAAATAAAGTTTTCGTGAGTTTTAGAAAGTTTTACAACCAATCGATACATAACTCCATTTGTATGTAAATGCAGTCGTTTTCTAGCCATGAGTTCGTGTAATCGATGACATATTTTTGAAAATCGCTTCTAAACTCGTTGCGAAGTTTTATCATGTTGTTTGACTCATTCAGTATATTTTGCCTTTCCTTATCATTAAGACCTTGATCATAAATATAAATTACAATCTAGGTTATCTAAATTATATAAAGCAAATAGATTATAGCAATACAACAATAGTTTTTAACATTTCAATATTTTAAAGTTAATAAAATTATGAAGCTTGTTTCTATTTCGATACTTATTAAAAAATTATCACAATGTTATAATATTTTTAAGATAATTAAATCTTGCCTGATAAATCGCATATTTTAATAGCGATTTAAATATAAATTGGAAAAGGGTGTTATTTTGTGTGCCATATAGCAAAGCCGATATCGCACAGTATCGGTTGATGATATCGATCACATCATCAAGCAACTCTGTGCGTTGAAGTGGAATGAACCGGCTATTAGTAGCTTTATGTTCAGACAAATTCAACAAAAAGCTCACATTTACGTATATAATTGCAAATGATCGGCAACATGCAGAAACGGTTTATACTTCTATACAAAAATAATATTCAATATACTGTTTATCAAAATAATTTAATTAATAATAATCACATATTATAATTAATAACATTATAAAACAATAAAAATTCCTAAAATAAACATTTATAAATCTGAGGAAACCTGTATAAATAAAATACCTTGGTGCCTGATATGATATGTCCTTTGTATAGCTCATTATGAAGAGCAGACAAATATAGTTAAATCAGTTTTTTAAAACAAACTTGTAACTACAATTTTATAATTTTAATAAGGTTATAATACTAATAAAACCCATTAAATATTTATTTATTTAATTTATGCTAATTATCCGATTGAAACGAACGTTTAAAATTAATGTGAAATTCTAATATAGACTATTTTGTTATATTTTCATCTAGACATGGTTACAACAGTTATAAACACATTCTTGTTAAATTTTAAAAATTCATATGCTCATAAGAAGTTAACTTTAAAAAAATTACAAAAGTGTTTGAATTTTTAAAAATAACAATTAAAAAGAGTCAAATTTAAATTGAAACTGTTAGAGTAACTTATAAAAAATTTAAGAAAACCTCAATCTAACTTTAATGGGAAATGTTGGTAAAACTTTGAAATTGAATTGCTAAATTTTCCTACTGAATTTGTATAACAAATATTATTTAACCGGATTTTGATACAGTGGTGTCATAGTGTCTGACCGGAAATCAAAGGATTAATAGAGTGAACAGTTGGGTCTATCGCAGACACTATGACTCCACTACTCATACATTCGTCGCTTACTCGTAGACAGACACCACTAAATGTAGACATGAGCAAGGTGTTCAATAAATGCCATTCATAGTGGTGAAACTATGATTTCACACATAAACATGCACAGACATAAACACATTGCAGAATTCAGGGAAGATGTATTTCACGAATTGATCGTGGTCCTGTAACACCACTGTATTATCAAGTTAAAATTAGGTGAAAACGGATTAATGATTTGATTATCCATTCAAAAGCTATTTAACCTTTCCCGATAGTAGATAGAAGTGATCACTATAGTATATTTAAACCAAAAAAATCATTTTTGGTATAATATACTGTAGAAAATCTACGAACAGATTTACAGTTATTACAAATCAGTTTATTTTCTATATATAATAAAAATGTTTAATGTTTAATGATAATTTTATAAACAAAAATTTGTTTTCCATAGTACCAATGTATAATATTATGAATTTAAAGTTTTAAATTTCCCCTAAAATAACTTAAACAATGTAGTTTATTATATATCTTGTAATTATTACTTTAATTTTATTTTGTGAGGTTGTCCCGATGCATAACAATAGTTTTGTAAGCGCGAGAAACAAGTGATTAACGGTTTTATAATTATTTATTTTTTATTTGAATATATTGTTGCACGTGCGATCTCTACCAATAATAGGGTTTTGTATACAATAGAGTGTAAGCGCGTGAGATGGGTTGTAAATATAGTATTCCACTATGTATTAAGTTATTGATTGAATTATTGGTCAGTTAGGTTAGGATAGGTAAGGGAAAGGGATCAGATTATGGTTAGTACCAGTTTTGTTGCACTAGTGTATATATTAATCTTATTTATGATATTATAAATTATTAACAACATAAAAATTATCAATTTGTTAACACTTAATACTTATAATCTATTTGTTAATAGCAACAATATAAAATATCTATTTTCAAAATGTCAGACAAATATTGTTATTCTTTATTTATTTATTTATATTTATTTATTTTTAAATGTTATTAAAATGTAAAATAATAAAATTATAATTGCAAATTAATTAGTGACAAAATATTATACTTATTAATTGGTTATAATCCAATATAAAAACATGAATGATTTTGAAATAATTAAACAAATTGGAAAGGGTGGTTTTGGTAAAGTGTATAAAGCAATTAATAAAACTAATAGAAACATGATTGCTATCAAAACTATTGACTTTAAAGGTATGAAAATTAATTTTTATAATTAATCACTAACAATTACTTATTTTACTAACTTTTTGGAATAATTAATATCAGATTGTCTATTTCTTTAAAGTAAATGTACAATGTGAATAATAATATAATTATAATAATTTTCTAAAGTCAAGAAGGGACTTAATACCTATAACTGTATATGAAATGCACCAGATTATACTCTGGATCAGTAAATGCCAAATAAATAAAACAAATCTTAATAAATAAATGTCGTAAATTTATTTGCACAAAACTCATGAGTAATGTCCCAAAGACATTGAATAAAATGGGTTATAATGGGGTCATTATGCAACTTATTGGCAAAAAATAATTTTGTTTATAATACACTTTCAATAATTAAAATTTTGTCTTGTTATCTAAAGCCATTAACAATTTATACGATATTAAAATATTTCAATTATAATACTTTGTAATGAAATTATGTTTGTATTTTATAATCATTTTTAATGTTATTTTTTTTATATTTTTGGAAATAATATATTGAAACAAAATATATTGATGTGAATAAGAAATATTTATGTAAGGCACGAATTGTTTATGATACTTATAAAAATTATTGATATTTATATATATATATTTTTAAATCATTAATTATTAGATAATTAATTAATTGCATGACCAATCCATTTGAATATTAATAATTTTTTAGTGTTAATTGTAAATATGACCCAAACCGAATAATAATAGGTTCAACCTCAAAAGACCTAAACCTAAAATGTCTAAACTCCAATAACTAACATACCAGTGAAAATATTTGTAATCTGATAAGCAGAATAGATGTGTCTTGATCTAACCTACCCTATCCTAAATAAAGTCAAAGAACCAAGGGCATTTAGTTTAAGTCTTTTAGGATTTAATCCTTTTTGGTGAGTCCTAAATAATATAAGATTCACTTTTGTTTAATGTTTTGGTAAATTAACAATGTTTTATATCATTTATGACATAAATCGGCCACATTAATAGTAGTTTTAATTAATAAAAATTAATATTAAATAATTACAAAAACCATGTTTTATTTTAATGATATTCTGCACTATATTAACCATTGCATAAATTGTTAAATTTTTAAATATATTTTACAGATTTTTCAGAAAAGGAAAAACAAAGGATTTTAACAGAAATTGAAACATTAAAAAATACCCAATCTAAGCATGTTGTGGAATTCTACAATTCATGGTCTAATGGGAATTTTTATTACATTGAAATGGAATTGTGCGATGATACTTTAACTAATATAATTAAAGTAAAACCACAAATATTTGACAGGCAACAAGGAGAACCCATGAATATATTTGAGTATTTTATATCAAGCACAATATTCCAACAATTGTTAGAAAGTGTCCGGTATTTGCATGAATTGAATCCAAAGATCATTCACAGAGACCTCAAACCCGACAATATACTGATTGTCTATAATTTTAAAAATGAAATATTTTTAAAGTTGTGTGATTTTGGTTTGGCTACAATTCACGACAAAAACATTCACTATCGGCAGTCACAAAAACATACGGCAGATGTGGGAGATGACCGGTACATAGCACCTGAAATAACACATGGTAAAAAATACGGACATAAATCGGACATTTATAATCTATCACTTATTGGTGGCGAAATATTTGAAATCGATTTATATATGACTGATGATGATAGGTAAGATATAATTACTTAACAATACATTAACTTAAGTGAAATTTGGATAGAGGTTTTCTTAAATGTTTGAAACTGATAAAATTTTACAAAATATTGTTAGTATATTTTAAAATATTTTTACTGTTTGAAATCAAATTGCAACAGAAACATTAATATATTTCATTTGTATCATAGTTCATTAATTTTCTGTTTTATTTAAAGGGAAAATATGTATTTAAAGGTTCATCCTACTTTAAATGATTCGGTTCATAATTTAGAAACTAAACTTTTAGAAATGCATAAAAACCCCCAATGGGATAAACGTCCTGAATGTAATGAAATTTTGGAAAATTATAACGAGTTATCTATAAACAAAATTCAGATTTTAATCAACCCACAATTCCAATCAACAATGCACAAACTACAGAAACTTGAAAATAAGTTCTTTTTAAATATATTTAAAACATTTGTTGGATATAAACCACTTATAATTCCGAGAAATTCCAACAAATTAGAGAAAACCTTAATCAAATCTGGGAATGATATTACGGTATTATTATTAGGAGAGTCGGGTGTGGAAAAGTCGACTTTCATCAACTCATTCATCAATTTTATGTCTTATGACACGTTGGATGAAGCAAAGTGTCAGCCACTATGTCTTTTACCCGTCTCATTCACAGTATTAGATGAGACCAACGAACTCAAGAGTATTAAGTTGTGTCCATATAAAGACCACAATGAAAACACTACAGACAGCACCGAACATGGTACTCAAACCACCCGGTGCTATAAGTTCACGGATGGCAACATAACTCTGAATATAATCGATACTCCGGGTATTGCTGACTCAGATGATATCAAAAGTGATAACAGAAATATGGAAAATACTTTGAAATTTATTAGCAATTATCGCGAGATTAACGCTATTTGTGTGCTCTTAAAGCCTACTGACATTGAATTAAAGTATTGTTTGTATAAGTTGTTGAGTCATTTGAATAAGTCTGCGGCCGATAACATACTGTTCCTCTTCACGAATGTCCGGTCCACTCAATACACACCGGGAGAGTCGGGGCCCTCATTAAAGGCGTTATTAGAGACATTGAAAATTAATGCCCCAAATGTAGACATACCGTATAATAGGAACACAATATATTGCTTCGATAACGAGGCATTCAGATACCT